ATAATATTTATATATATAGAAATAATTTTTTAATATATATATATATATACATCAATTTAAATATTACATCTCTTTGTATTCGAATGTTACAAATCTGACATATTTTTCATCAGCATTTCGCGTACGCTCCTCGATAAGCATCGATAGAACGAGATTCTCGATAATCGCATGAAAGAGAAATCCATTGAAAGATTTGCTGCGAATCGAGGAAGCTTTATCGGCTTTGCTGGAGAGGGCAAGAGTAAGATGAGTGCGTTTTGTACGACGTCCTGAAAAAAGAAAAAAAAAAACGCGAAACTTATTCATAATTCAAACCTCTTTGAAAATGCCGTAAAGTTCGACTTGAAGCATCTATTCGATCTCCTCCCCTTCGTACTGTCGCGCGGCCTAAAATTTTTCATAGCCACCATAAAAAAGCGCGCGCTAGGGTTACGAGAAATATCGAGGGCCTGACGCTTATATTCGCCTCTTCGTGGCGATCAGAGCGAGTAACTTGGATTGCGAGAACAGCCGCGACGACCATGGACCGTAGTAGAGTAGAGTCGGGCGCTCTTCGTGGCGGTCGCGGCCGAGTGGAGCCGAAGACGGCCGAGCGGCGCCGAGCGCAACTGAACGCGGCAACGCGCGTCAGAGGGTAACAGTCGTGCCGCGGCCTCCGACGAGAGAGGGCTGTGCAATCGTCGTTCGTTGTTAGCAGTCACGGCAAGTTCAGTTCGGTCCGTAGCATCGCGACTTAAACGTCGATGAATACAACAACGATTCTTTAACGGCCATTCGATCATGTTGTGACGGATGCGTTGCTCGTGTGCCGCCGATACGTCGCGTCTGCGATCATCCCGTTATCGCAATAATGCACGCGCGATAGGAAAACAAGCAGTTCGTCGACTTCGTAATCGCGTCCGTCTTGACTCGAGCAACAGATGTGACCATCGTGCGCGTCTCGTTCTTTATATTTAGTTAATCAAGATTTTCTCAGTTGGTAAAACGCCTCGATTCTAATCTCTTGTTTCGCTCCTCGTCGAGAAGCGTCGTAACGAATAACAAGGGCGAATGTGTGCTTCGAATTTTGCTGACGGGAGATAAGAAACGTTTAAGTAATCGTACCAGCGATCAAGTGAAAGATAACATCGGAGAGGCAGACGTTTTTTTTTTGAGGAGGAAATAAGAAGTTCTTAGAATCTGCGTTCGCGATCGACGTGAATTGCTGCTCGTCGTCCGCCGTTCTAAGAACTTATCTACGGCTTAAGGGCACCGGGCCGTGCACGAGAAGTAAAAGACGAAGAGGAAGAGAATTCCTTTGTCCTCCGAGACGGCGCGGAAGGAGGTGGACGACGAACCGTGGAGAGGGGGAAAGAGGCAGCGAAACGAAGCAGCACGCGGTCGAGTTTCTCGGAGTATACCTGCCGCGGGAGCGCGACAAGGACGGCGCGATTAAACGAGAAAGAGAGAGAGAGTGAGAGACGCTTTATACGCCGGTGAACGGCCGTCTCGTTGTCGTTGCCAGCAGCAAAGGGCAACAAACCACGCGCTACGGGAGAAACTCTCCTCTTCCTGTTCAAGGTCAGAGCATCGAGACCCACGCCGCGTTTCTTTGTAATCGGACTATCGCGAGTGAAGTAAAGTAAATCGTTGTGCGCGTAATGCTCGGGAATTAGCAAAAGTAGAATCGCGGGAATCGTTTGACGGCAAAAATCGAGAGAGAATTCGAGGAAAAAAAGTGAGATTGTGTTTGATTTCCTCGTGACCATGCTGAGGCAGAGGGTATTACCGGACGCCATGACTATAGTTAGGGCAGCTGTTCTCGCAGCTGTCCTGGGACAACTCGTGGGCCCCAGCACGGCCAGCAGACCTGCCGGCGCTCACCCAGGACACGCTTACTTCGAACAACCGTGCTGCGGACGTTCCCATCTCAGGCATCACAAAGGTCAGTTATTTCTAACGAGTGCTATCCGTGAGACGATTGGCAAAAACCAAATATGAGCGTTAAAAATATCGGAACGTCTCGATGATCGCGGGGATTATTATCGTTGCGATTATTGACAGGTATCTAATGTGTCAATTAAGTATGAGCAATCTATGGCGATATTTGCATGGGAATATTTCAACCGAGCTCAGCTCATCTTGATTGCGGTAGGGCAGGCTCGTGACGCGCGAGCGGAAGCGGAAACGGATGAGCGAGGCGATAGCGAAGCCACGTGGTATCGTGATTTTTCATTCTCATCGTCGAATGTCATTGTTCGCGACGATGACAGGGCTACGCGTGTACGTTTCGCATCCTATTTATACTTACACATGTTCGTGGATAATCATATACAGGAAATTCCGTACGACACGAAATTCATAATCCATGCTGAGATAAATTACACAATATTATCGATATCCAGGGAGAGATACATAGAGAGCGAAAATAGAAGCAGTTTTACATGCTGGTACTATATTTCGAATATACAAGATAATAATAAATGTCTCGCTATTATACAATATTAAAGATTATCTAACGATGGAGCGCCGCACGTGCAACGTCATTTTTTCGCGCTTTTTGCTATCTACTTTTTTCCTCATAATAACGATAATATATTAATGTGGTTCACTCGCGATGATCGATGGGCGATGGCGGTGCAATTTTTATATCAGGATATCGATCGCTATTAATTTGCAAATGTATTGTTCAAATTAAATAGTGTGACTTTCGGGATCGTTTCGTTGGGCGGACCAGCCATTTACAATACATATTATACAGACAAATAAACTCAATTGCTCACACCTATGTTTAATGAAATACAATTAGCGCACTGGATGCTGGTACATGAATTTGATTTGAAATTAATCATAGGAAATGCATTCTTTTTAATTTAAAATTATTAAACAGTTTGGCATTAACATCAAGCAGTTATTGTATATTAATTTAAGTTATATGATTAATTTAAGACGTAATTCTCGTTCGATAAAGATCGACAAAACTGTTAATAATTTGTGATTGTTATACGAAAAATACTGTACGTCATGATATACACCGGGGATTTTTCAGGGAAACTTCGCGGCATTTTTCTCACGGGATGCTGACCTCTTTCTCTCTTTCCGGTAAATCGTTTAAAAGAACGAACGAGTGCAGAATGTAAAAACGAACGTACCCCGGGCAACGAAATGCCCGTTAGCATACATCACCAATATTATCTCGGGGAAGACCCTGCCACGCGATATTACCGGGGCTTAGAACGCCGGGCTGACTTCATTATGGTACCGAGGGAGAGAGAGAACCGTCGAATGGAATGTGGAATGGTCGGTTGGTTGGCTCTCGGTTCGTGTGTGGAAGTCAGGAGTGTGGAGAGCATCGCCGGTGCGTGGCGGCTCTCTCGCGTGTATAAAGCAAGAGACCGCATGCTGGGGAGACGCAATGCTTGCGAACGCGCCGCGCGCACACACACACACACACGCACTCGAAAAACTTACGCGTTCCAGAGCGTTTTCTACGAGCGTAGCATTTTCCGGAAGGGGAAACTTTTTGGGGGATTTGCGGCCGGTCTGTTTTCCTGTCGCGCCAATGGCGGAATTTTCATTACGACGGTGCGATTATTATCCTTCTAATGCCCCGACGCGGAATGCGTGCGCGCGTGTTTTGGTTTCGCGGAATGTCGGTTTCCGCGTATATTCGCGGCGCGAAGTTTCGGAACGTCCTACAACCGGGTAGCACTATGTGCGCGACACTTGTTTCCGAAGTTATCGCCGACTAATTTCGTCGTCG